ATATATCTTTCTCTCTCTCTCTCTCTCTCTCTCTCTATTTCTCTCACTCACACACACACACACACAGACATACAGATACGCAGACACACTGACACACACACACATTAACGCACACGGTACACACACGCGCGCGCGCGCATCTACACTTAGACTTAAATCTATGAAGCCAAAGCCAAAGTTTAGGAATAGTGGGAAATTTTAGAAAGCACTTTTTTGAGTAAAGAGAAGCACATTGACACAATAACGGTCATTTAGTGCTGGGAAAAAGTAAGACAAACGAACAGAAACGACAGCGGGAAAGTAAAAAAATAGAACCTATCAGTGACGCCCTCCAACCACCCTCGAGAAGGTACCAACATACTATAAAGTTAGGAATTAATCTGTATGGTAATGTCTCTGTCCTTTGCCTTCAATCTACGCTTTTCCCTGCTGTGGGATTTCCAGGAAGAGTGAATTATGGCTATACGGTCTGGTGAACAAATTTTGAAATATAGGCCTACATAATTTCAAAATACGCACTAAAAGACTTTAGTTTTAGTGATAGTTTTACGGCACTTGCAACACAATAAGTGCCGAAGACTAGATGAGTTACAAGATAGTAACATACACAGAAAAGAAGGAGAGGAGATAAGGACGATAGATGTTTGATAGGAAATAAGGAGGAAACCACACCAGAGCACCCGCCAACCACCTACGCAATAAAAGTAAGAGTCTTACAACAGAAGAAGAAATTATGAACAATAAAGATACAAGTGGCAAGCGTTTACACAGAGAAAAACAGAACATGAAAAAAACATAACCATTCAACAAAGAGTGGGATTTAGATCGGACATTTAACGAATCAATTCTCTCCACAGCCCAAAACGACACACCGCGACACGGCGTTGGTTTTCCCGTTTGACTCATGTGTGTACCGGCATTATGTGTTGACCTAATCAATTTTGTGCACAACACAGAGCTAACACACAACGACTCAGTGTGTTGTTGGTTTACCACTTAGTGTGTTCCGTAATTCCAATACCCTTTTTTTTAAATGATCACGACGAACGCTAAAAGAGAAGTAGATATCTAACCCTATCCGTGCGTCGTGCTTTACTATCGTATCCATACGACGTGGGGAACTCTGTGCCACCACTTAACCCTTTCCGTACGTCATGTTTTACTATCGTATCCATACCACGTGGAGAACTCTGTGCCACCACTTTCCAGAGAGGAAATTTATTCGTTAATCCGATCCGTACGCTTTGCATAGCAAACAGTCAAAATGATTTTTTGAGAAATACTGAAAGTTTCAAAGAGATCTTCGTGCTAGAAGTATTCTAAAATGTGAAGAATACAACCCCGGGGGTACAACATGACCCCAGGGCGTACGGACAGGATTAACACAGAATTCTCCATTATTTGGACTTATGAAATTATTGATATTTGTAAAACGACAGTGTCGAAAACGCAGATATACGGGGAAGAACGTTGAAAAACACATTCTATTATTGTTAATTGAAACAAGAACGTAAGTGATATGAGTTTTTTAACGAATCAAATCTCTGCACAGAGCGGGACCAACGTACAGCGAAGCAGTGTGTGTGTTACTTCGCCACTTTGTGTGTATAAGAAGCCATACATACATGTGTGCTGGAGTTCCACTTCACACACACACACACTTCTATTCACTAGTAACAATATCGGACGACTCTTTAAAAAATTGTCACAACGCACGCCGAAAGGGACTTAAAGCAGAAATAAATTGAAAGAGTTATTAAAAAAAACAAAAAAACAACCACAGCAACCACAGCAACAACAACAAAAACAACAACAACAACAAAAACAACAACAACAACAACAAACCGATTGTTCAATGAAACTGTTGAAAGCATAAACGAAGGGAAAACATTAAGAAACGTTATTTTGATTTTAAGTTCGCCGTAAAAAGGAAAGTTGAAACTAATTTTTAAACGAAACAATACTCTTTGTAACACAAGACTAACGCATAGCGACACAGCAACACATCGACACAGCGTGTTAGGTCGGCCCTTCACGTGTATATAGGAAGCCACACATATGTGTTGAAATAATCAATCGCGGCACTTACCTGTAAAATCTCGCTACTTCCTCCGCGAACAAAACTCAAGACTGGAACACATAAATCTAACGCCTGGCAGTCATCAGACTTAGATAGTTATTTCACCCACACACACACAACGCGGGGCTGGAACATAGAACGCCTGGCACTGGGTAAAGCTCACTACATGTACTACTTCATCCAAACACACAACGCTGAGATTGGAACATACGACGCTGTAGTCTCTGAGAATGTTGCTACTTCCTTTGGCCATACACAACGCCAGACTGGAACCCGTTACACCTGGCTCTCGAGAACTATCAACAAAGCTTGACTCTCTCACTCTCTCTCACACACACTCTCTCTGTCTCTCTGTCTCTCTGTGTCTGGCACCCGCGACAAGACTGAGCAGGACCCTGACTGACTGACTGGCACCAGGCTAACGTCGCGCGAAACTGTACCCACCCGCTCGCTCGGAAGCTCGCCCCACGCTTTCAACCAACAGTCAGTTGTCACACGCTGTTTCCCGCCGAAAGAGTCGTTGGCTGAGAATGATATGCACACCGGGGAACTCAATTCTTCTTCCTCTTCTCCTGCTCCTGCTCCTGTTCCTCCTCCTCCTCCTCCTCCTCCT